TAGAGACTAACAAATTTATTAGAGCATAAGCTTTCGTGGACTAGTCTCTAAGGTGCCACAAGTACTCCTGTTCTTTTTCCGAATTTACAGAATTCGATTTTTGGCAACCGATTGTATAAAGTCGAGTGCATGCGGCCACACTAAGCACATTAATTCGGCGGTGTGCGTCCATGTACCGAGAGTAGCGTCGACTTCCGGAGCGTTGCACTGTGGGTAGCTATCCCATAGTTCCTGCAGTCTCCCCCGCCCATTGGAATTCTGGGTTGAGATCCCAATGCCTGATGGGGCCAAAAATTTGTCGTGGGTGGTTATGGGTAAATGTCGTCAGTCAGTCCTCCCTCCGTGAAAGCAACTGCAGACAACCATTTCGTGCCCTTTTCCCTGGATTGCCTGGGCAGACGCCATAGCACGGCAACCATGGAACCCGTTCAGCCTTTTTTCACTGTCACCGTATGTCTACTGGATGCTGCTGACAGACGTGGTACTGCAGCGCTACACAGCAGCATCCCCTTGCCTTTGCAAGTTAGCAAAGACGGTTACCAGCCATACTGTACCGTCTGCTGCTGTCCTGGACGGCCTCGGTGAGGTCAGTCGGGGGCACCTAGACAAAAATGGGAATGACTCCCCAGGTCATTCTCTTCTTTAAGTTTTGTCTACTGGAGAGTCAGTCCTGAATATCAGGCAAGCCTACTAAAGAACCAGAGAGACAAACGGCCGCTCCGGGTCAGAGCCCCAGGCATCCCGCAGAAATGATGAGCTGCATGCCATTCTAGGGGGTGCCCCTACAACAAGCCCACCCATTGCTTCCCTCCTCCCCCACCCGTCCCGGGCTACCTTGGCGGTTATCCCCCCGTTTGTGTGATGAAGTAATAAAGAATGCATGAATTTGAAACAACACATACTTTATTGCCTCTGCAAGCAGAGATCAAAGGGGGGAGGGGAGGGTGGTTGGCTTATAGCGAAGTCAAGTGAACCACCATTCTGCACTTGCTCAGCCTATAGCTGAAAATGGGAATCTGTGATAAGCACTAGGATAGAAGCACAGGCAGGACTGAATCCCCATTTGTGTGTGGGCCTTTGGTTGACACTGGTAAAATACAAAATGTCCCAGGATATGTATGTTGGGGGACAGTTCTAAGGGGCAGCTTTATTTTTATATTTGCAGCAAAAAGTATCTGATTGTGAGCCCTGGGAGAAAGGGGTAGGATGGGGTAGGTGCGACCGCGCGGTGCTGCCGACTGGGAGAGCAGCCTGAGGCAGAAGCCTCCAACTGGCATGATATTCCAGGCAGGACTGAATCTCCATTACACAAAACGTAAAGAAGAGAATGGAGTCATTCCCATTTTTGTCAATGTGCCCCCGACCGACCTCACCAAGGCCAGCCAGGAGCACCCATGGGACGACTATGACTGTTACCAGTCATACTGTACCGTCTGCCGTCTGCAAGGCAAGGGGCTGCTGCTGTGTAGCGCTGCAGCACCACGTGTGCCAGCAGCATCCAGTAGACCTACGGTGACAGTGAAAAAAGGCGAGAAACGATTTTTTTCCCTTTGCTTTCGAGGGGGGGCGGCTGACGACATATACCCTGAACCACCCGTGACAATGTTTTTGACCCTTCAGGCATTGGGAGCTCAACCGAGAATTCAAATGGTTTTCGGAGAGTGCGGGAACTGTGGGATAGCTACAGTTGTCAGTCGCCCCTCCCTCTGTGAGCGTCCATTTGATTCCTTGGCTTTCTGGTACTCTTGTCTCAGCTCCTTAAGTTTCACCCAGCACTGTGTTGAGTGCCTGTTGTGGCCTCTGTCCATCATGGCCTTGGAGATTTTTTTCAAATGTTTTGGCATTTTGTCTTTTGGAACGGAGTTCTGATAGAACAGATTTATCTCTCCCTACAGAGATCAGATTCAGTATTTCCCGTTCAGTCCATGCTGGAGCTCTTTTTTGATTCTGGGACTGCATGGTCACCTGTGCTGATCAGCGCTCCACGCTAGGCAAACAGGAAAGGAAAGTCAAAAGTTCGCGGGGCTTTTCCTGTCTACCTGGCCAGTGCATCCGAGTTCAGATTGCTGTCCAGAGTGGTCACAATGATGCACTGTGGGATAGCTCCCAGAGGCCAATACCGTCGAATTGCAGCCACACTAACCCTAATTCGAAATGGCAATCTCGATTTCGGCGCTACTCCCCTCGTCGGGGAGGAGTACAGAAATCAATTTTAAGAGCCTTTATGTCAAAGTAAATGGCTTCATTGTGTGGACGGGTGCAGGGTTAATTCGATTTAACGCTGCTAAATTCTAACTAAACTCGTAGTTTAGACCAGGCCTGTGGTTTGGAATCTTCGCCGAATATATGCCTTAAGTAAATGCAGATTGGACAACTTTTTCAAATATGGTTCAAAACCATGGGCCATCTTCAGAGTAGAAAAATCAAATGACTAACATTGAATCATAGCCAGATCTTCTTGTTGAGGAATATCGATCACTCTGTGTGAGTCGTTGATTTAAAGATACTGACAATAAGCAAGTAGTAGAAAAACTCAACTTAGCTAAACTCAGTTGGAGGGTGTCACACCAGGAAAATAAGGAGTCACAGGTTGTTCCTCCATCTCCTGAAGGCAAAGACAGAGCGATCTGTAATCTGGAAGAGTACAATTCTTAGACCAAAATTTAAGAAAAGCAGTACAAGCTCTGCTGCTTACAGAAAACACCCACCTCTGCATTTAAAAATGAGGCAGGGAGAATTAAGTCTCCTCAAAGTTATTTTGAACTATCTCTAAGGCCAGAGTTGTCTGTAGAGATTGATGGGGACATAATTTCTGAGTAACTCAACTGCACAAACGAAGACCTGATATGATTTACACCTGTTAACGATCACAAAAGCAGTGTTAGTTGTAGATTTAAGCCATTTGCCCCCAAGACGGAGGTAGATACCCAATAAAGGTGCCGATTAATCTTCATCCTACTGGAACACCAGTCTACTTCGCTTGGATCATTGGACACTAACCAGGACAAAACATTTAGTAAATGTGCGGTAGGGAACAGTCTTGCTTTGGGTCCCAGGGAATGGCCAGGAGGGAAAGTCCCATTTGATCCCAGCACTAGATTCTACTCACCAATAGGAATAAAGTCTGGCCAGAAGAGTTGGCTGTCACTGAAAGTTTTCTTGCGGCTCCCTGTGCTGTATGGCCATCAGTTTCACACTGGGGTGGTTTGCAAACAGACCTTTGTTTGGTCGAGGGCCAGGTGTGAAAGTAACTTAAAGGACTTACTGGTACGCCAGAGTTCTGAGCAGAGTGTGTGGCCTCAACCAGAAGAGGCGGGGCCTTTTAAAGGGCCTGGGTATTTAATCAAGATTTAAAGGCCTAGGGGCTCTGGCTGCAGAGGCGGCTGGGAGCTCAGGGGCGATTTAAAGGGCCCAGGGCTCCGGCCGCCACTACCGCAGCTGAGCCCCTGGTCCTTTAAATCACCGCCAGAGCCCTGCCGCTGCTACCCCAGGGCTCTGGCAGCGGGGCTCGGGTGGAGATTTAAAAGGCCCGGGGCTCCCCACAGCGGCTGGAGCCCCGGGCCCTTTAAATCGCCAGCCTGGGGAAGCCGGTCCGGTCTGGCACAGCGTACTGGCCCGGACTGGCTTACTTTCACCTCTGTGGAGGGCAGTTTCTCTTCGTATATTGTGCATGCAGGAGAGGGAGATTCAATGGTGGGCACTGGGTACCGTAGAGCAGGTTGTTCTTTCCCCCACACCTATGAGCTGACAGATTAAAGCTGTATCCGTGTCTCTGGCCCTGCTAGGAGTCCGAGCGTCTGGAGCTCATGAATGCCGAGCTGAAAGCCCAGATAGAGGAGCTGAAGCAGGAGAGGCAGCAGCTGATTCTAATGCTGAACAGACACCGTCCCACTTGCATTGTGCGGACAGACAGCATCAAGACACCAGAGAGCGAAGCCAACCCACTGCTTGAACAACTAGAGAAAAAGTGAAGGTGGCACTGGCCAGGACAAGGAGGAGACAACAAATTGGGGTCTCCAAAAAGTCGCCTATGTACTGTATGAAGAACTGTGCACCGAGGCCTTGTCCAGCCAGAACCCAGTGGGCTTTCTTGGGGATTACAGGCCAACCAAATAAGAGGAAGGAGAAGATCAGGAACCTGCCATTCATCCCACTCTGAGGCTGAAGCTGGGATGGGTCTAGCAGCTGTGGTGAGGGCAACCCCTTGCAATACCTCTTCATGGCCCTTCAGCCTGCTCATCAGCCCCAGGGATCAAGCAAGCAGCCCGTTTCAGGGCATCCTGAAGCTGGATCACGTTGAGATACGGGGAGGGGAAGTTGCAGCTTCTTCTCTTCCCACACCTACTGGTATGCACCTAGCTGGGAGTGGAGGCTTGACCCAGGAGAAATGAACATGTGTGGGAGATGGATGGCAGGCAAAGACATGCTGGCTATATCTCCCAGGACTGTCCTATCTCCGTCCCTCTGGATCCTGCCACTGCTCCTTGCGCACACTCCGGAATGGAATCCGAAACAAAGAATTGCAAACACTTGACACAAGCCCCGCCTTGCGGCTGGGCCTGTCCATGGCACTGTGGCGCAGGCGCCCCACAAGCACACTCAGTATAATGTTTACAGCCCAGCTGTCCCTGTCGGCCGTGCTTTTGAATGCACATTTTTACACTTTTTTATATTTTTTACAAAGTTTTTATACAGCTGTCTCTATATGGATTTATATAATCACTAGACGTGATCCCATAGAAATGTATGATATAATGGCCCGTTTGTTACAAATGCATATGCCACAGTTATCTCATTGTGTTACTTGTTAGGTGGTGTCTGGCTCCTTTCCCCTCGGCATGCTGGAAAAGGGGCCCATGCAGCCCTCCACACTGGCTCCGCTACCATCTCCATCCATGTACGTTTTTCGTAATACGCAGTCCTGTATCTCTCAGTAAATGTTACTTTGACTTATTCCCCCCGCCTCCTTTGCTTTGTCTGGATTGTGTCCCGGTGCTCACTGGGCTGGGCACAGACTGTGGTCAGCCCTTTGCACCAGCGCAGCAACTGTCAGCTTCCCTCCCATGCTGACTACAGTTCTGGCTGGCGGACACTGGCTGAGTGGGCTAGTTCCTGACCCATGACGATGGGTGTATGCATTAGTAATGGTGGCATAGGCCTAAACGTGGTTCACTCCTTGGCTGAGCAGGAGGCAAATGCCTAGATGTAAGGTGGTGTAACTCAAGCCCATGTACACGTGGGGTGTAACTTACCCCAGAGCCAGCAGGTGAGAGTTAGAGGCCATCCCATTTTGAGCCCTCCTCTGAGTTGCTCCACTCCTGTCCCCGTCCTGTGAGGTGCACAGAAGCATTGGTGACCACCTTCGGGGAGGTGAAGTGGGCAAGCGTCATGTGCACATGGAAGAAGGTGATGTAAGACTTCTCTGACCCTGTTCCCAGGTCCCTAACATGCCTCCTTCTGCCAGCCATAGGATGAGCCCAAGCCCCTCTCTAGCCTCTGAACATGCTGCTGTGGAGGGTGAAGGGATAAAGGTCAAACCATGACTCCTCTATTTCCAGTGTGCAGGTGGGTGCCCCAGCTGAGGTCTTACTGGTATAAACATTTCTGTAACAACAAGGCTAGTAACTCTGTCCACATGTGTTTGGGCCAGAGCCTCCAATACAAGTGTCCTTTACAGCACACCATTGAGAAATGGGGCCCAAACCCAACACGTTGTCCCTGCTCCAAGCAGGGGTAGAACCGTTGGAAAAACATCTGCCCTTAGTCTACGCCAGTGCTCTAACACATCACGAACGTGAGTGGAGCTGCATTGGTGCTAGATCCATGAGGAGAGAACTGCTAGGAGTTCTGTGCAGATGCACTATTAGGGCTACCCTGGCTCCTAGCATCCATTCACCCTCCATTCTGGAAAGCTGAAGTGGGCAGAAGGGAAACAAGGCTGACTTAAACTCAATCATCTTTAAAGGGGGAAAGCCTTGTCTGAATGTGGCTGTGCAAAAAGTCAGTCCTGCCAGGGAGCACCCTCCGGCAGCAGGTCACAGCATGATAGGCACACCTGCCTCAGTTT